AAACATTTTTATAGATATTTGGTGTCTGTGTGTGTATATATATATATATATATATATATATATATATATATATATATATATATATACATATATACATATACATATATACATAATTATATCTGGTATGTTACTTCTTTGAAAATTTTGTTACATTATCATTTGAAGATATCATTCATCAATCGTTTTTTTTGCCATAAGGTTATTTGTTGTTACCATCGGTGGAGTTATACAATCTGACCCAGCGTTTCCCAGATTCAGGGGCACGATCTGGCACCGTGTTCAACAAGCAAAATAACCCGGTGATCCAAAGAAGGGGGAACAAAAACAACCGTTACCGGGTCACGAAACATAAAGTTTGGGAACCGCTGATCTAACCCAAAGCAATCGAAATATCACCACGATCTAAATTCTGTGATTGGCAGAAAGAACCAGATCACTTTATCCAGAGGGTTTTGTGGCAAAGAGAGGGGGGGGGGGGTCAACGAGCGCAGGTAACCTGATGCTCAAGGAGCCCCAGGTTTTTAGAGGCCTCCGCACATCATCTTATGCTTCTCCCAAGCACCGCCTCTGAAAGTTCTTTGATTAACTTTTTTGAGATACGTCTAAAGCTAATCCTAGCCACGGAAACACGACCCCCCCCCCATTTTGGCAATCCAGGGGGGGGGGTCGGTAACCCTTCGACACGCGTGTCAGACTTTGCACACATGCCAGCATTGGCACGCAGTGCGAATTTCATCTGCTTCTTCTTGGAAGAACAAAAAAAAATAAAAATAAATAAAACATAATTTTTAGTCATTGATTAGTGATTGGCGCTCCTTATCCCCTGCACCATCAAGCACCATGCAGCGCACACAGAACGTTGATAGCTGACTGGCTTAACCACTCGACATTGCCAACTTATAGATATGATATACATTTTATGCCGTTTTTAATGAAAACGATCTGAAACTTTTAAGCCTTGTTCAGGTGGGGAAGTCCGTTTTAGTTGTAAGTGCACAAGGGAGTAAACGAACAACGATGAACAATACCGATCTCAGTCAATAAACCTTGTTGAAATCCTTAAGCCTGTATTCATGGCACCCAGGGCGTGGCATACTAATAACAGTGGTCGGCACTGGCGAGCGATAGCCTCATGACCAGATACCACCCGCGCCCCCACCCAAACCCTTCTCCCCCCCCCCCCCCCCCCCCCCCCCCCCCCCCACCCCCCCCAACGTTATGTTACATGTCACGTTACATTACAGGGAAGGGGGTTGGGGGGGGGGGGCTCTCTCTTCAGCTGCGATCTAGGCTCCCGTGAATTTGAAGATTTCTATGTTTTGAAGTTGGTTTTATTAAAAAAAGATGGAAAAAAAAGACAGATTTGTTTTGTGGATAGGATAATAGCTTCTTAATACTTATAGTTTATTTTTTTTATTTTTATTATTAGTTGACTTTCTGAATTATGAGATGAGACAAAGCGCATTAAATTGCTGAACGCCTTAAACACATAAATCCTCATTTTAAGCATCAGTAGATAGAGTTGTGTTAGGATAAAGGTTCTTAAGAGCCGCGAACAGAGTGATGCATCAATTTTAAAAAGGCGTCATAAGAGTAATAGCAATACGCCCCCCCCCCCCTTTTATAATTTCATCAGTGGAAAAGATCATCATTCAAGGAAAACTCTCCATCCTCATATTTTGAAAAGAAAAATAACGATTCCACTTACTCTCTAATGACAGATACATTAAATTCGTTTTTTCCCCTTTTTCAAAACTTAAGCAAAATTATTAAGAGATTAATTACGTCATCAACTGTGTGTTAATAATACAAGGTTATGTAAGCGACTATAATATATCAAACTCAAAGTCTTTAAAACCAAACAAACACTTTACAATGCAATATCAACTAAGGTGGACCACCTCAGTCAGTTTACTCTAGATCGCCATTATTGTATTTTCTGTAATAGTTTTTCAACATTAGTCTACATGACGGGTCGCAAGTTTCCTTGTTCAGTTTGACCCCCCC